TTCCAACAGATCTTTAATTTAATTTCCCGAGGAAAAGTCTCTATCTACTCTTACACCGTACTCTTCACACATAAGATCGGGTATTTTTTATCCTGCTATGCACAGTAGGTCTTTCAAAATAGTATCTGAAAGGTATCATTACTGAATGAGGAACAGAGGACACAAACTGTATAGTTGATTCTAACGATCTAAAAAGACCTGATTTGTAAAAAGTGCAGTTTTCGAGATTCACAGTGTCATGGCCAGTACCCCGAGCAATAACGCACATACTCTTCCACTTGAATTTGGACACATGAACAACTGATGAACTACAGGAAGGTGAGCTTCAGTGTTAATGATGAAGGGGTTGAAAATAGAGCAGTAGTCTGGCTCTTACCAGTCCCACGGCAGAATGTATTTGTGTAAGGCAGTATCTGCGAGCATTATTGGTTTTATTCTGCATGAAGAGCAGGCTCCTATGGCTGCAACACTCTATATGTCTACGTGTACACCTCTTGAGCCCCTTCCACATCAGCTCGCAGGAGAGCTTCAGGAAGGATGGTCACAAATTCTGGCAATGCCAATTCAGATTGTCTCCATCAAAGTCAAGCTGAGCTAACCGGGGGAGCGAAACAAGCCGAGCAGAACCGGGGGCGGAATTTGCAGTGGCTACAGTCAGAACACAAACCCACGCATGGTGTAAAATCGACGTGGGGTTTTGCTGTTGGGGTTTTGGGGGGGTTGTTTGGTTTTTTGTCGCCCCCCCCCCCCCCTAGATTTACGAGGATGTTGCAGTGGAAACCGTTTTCTTATGGACGGAGGGAAAAGTTTTAGAGTTCTCCAGAAAACACTTTAAATGAGGGGAGGCACCTCCACGAGGCAGGGACGTGACAGGGACCGAGCCCCGTGCCGGACTGCAACATCTGTGCAAAACCCTGCGTGTGCGCGTGTGAAGGGTTCCCCCACCTCCCCGGGACACGCAGCTGTCACGCCAGCTGAGAGCCGGCCCGAGGTGCGCCCCGGACCTGCGTGCGGGTGGGTGCGGGTGCGAGCAAAGGCACGCCTCCTCCACGGCCGGGGCTCTCCGTCAGCCCCAAAGCAGGCAGGATGGTAGCGAGGAGTCCAAAATAAAGGGCACCCCCTCCCGCCGGCTTCGCTCCCGTCTCCTCTCCCGGTGCCAAGCAGACCCAGGCGGACACAGCCACGGGCACGCAGCACTCCTCCGTGAAACAAAAGGCCCGCGACGTTGCCCCCCCCCCC